TGGTATGGCCATGCTCTACCTAGGCAACAATGTCATGTACACCATGCTTGCCCTGGTGGAGGTCGTGACCGGCATCCTGGACCTGGGATTGTCCATCCCCAGCGTCCTGGACCTTGGCTTGTGCGCGGCCGGCATCCTTCGAGTCTCCGAGCCTGTCCCCGCTTGATGGCTTCATGCTTGTCGTGGCCGGCGTCCTGGACTTGAGCTTGCGCGTGGCCGGCATCCTTGACCTGGGCTTGTGCGTGCCCGACGTTCTGGAGCTTGGCTGTGCATGGCCGACGTCATCCTAGTCTCCGAGCCTGTCCCCGCTTGACGGCCTAATGTTTCCTTTCACTATTAAGGAAAAGGATAGCAGCAGCGCGGGTTTTAGACCTATCAGCAGCGCGGGTACCCGCGCTACCAATAAGGCGCTACAGCTAACTCTTAGTAGTAGTGCTGCCTGTACCCACGCTACCACTATTGACTATAGTAGCAGCGCTTTTCAGGAACGCGCTGCTATTACTTAGCTGTAGCGATTTCCCGGTCCAGCGCTACTGTTATATCTTTCACCATTTTCCCATTCCGGCTTCGATAAACTGCAATTTCCAGATACTAGATACTACTAGATATCAATTTCATAAAGCATTATAGGTACTAGGTAGTACTTCCACGGTTTCAAATTACTCGTTGTGGTTTTAGTTCAAATTTGAACTCAAACCACGACGAGTAATTTGGAACCGAGGGAGTACTAGATAACAATTTCATATATACTCAACATGCATCCTCAAGCAGTACAAGGTGACATCGACGACAATCATCATATTTAGTTCTAGATGATATCGACGACGATCATCATATGTAGTTCTACATGATATCGACGACGATCATCATATGTAGTTCTAGATGATATAGCCACATACACATATGTAGTTCTAGATGATATCGACGACGATCATCATCCTCAAGCCTGGGCGGTGGGTGTTCCTGATAGTAATTAGGATGGCCTGTCCAGCACGAAGATTCTTGCCAACGAGGAATCTCTTCCACCCAACCGAGTTCAAGTGTGTGCGACCATCTGTGCCCTTGCGGTAAGTACATGTGATGATGGAGCCCCTTGCGGTAAGTCCAACTGAGCCTTCTTCATCAGGCTCGATACCACAACTCACAGATAGGTTCTTTGGCAATCTCTGAATAAGAAAAACATATCAATTAATAAATAGCCTAAGCATGTGATCAGACTCTACACTAAAGTATATCATCGACTAGATTCCACAAAGCATATCATTGGACTCTACACTAAGCATATCATCGGATTCACTAAGCATATAATCGAATAATTTGCATTGGTAAGTATAACAATAAAGCATATATATCATCAAATTACTACATGCAGTACGTATAACATACCATTTCATGCCGATCGACCATGGTACTTGTCAGGTGGGTCACGAATGGCACCCCGACAAAGTCATCACGTGGCGGAATTATGTCCCATAGGTTGCACACCTCCTCCTCGCTCAGCCTCATTCTTTGAGCTATGATGGCTTCATGAAGTGGGTTCTCATCATCTTCATTGAGTGGGTCCTCATTATCTTCATCATCTTCGTCATCTTCATCATCTTCCACCAGGTTGATATAAATGACAACCAGCTTGGGTCTTTCTGCTCTAAAGGAGAATCTGATCAACTCACCACCAGTAAGACGCATGCGAGCGAGGAAACGGGCTCATCCATCTCCTCCAATCTACGACATATTGCGTCCTTTCTCGACCTCCATAGTGTACGGCCCCCCAGGAGCCTCAAATGTCACAGTGTCTCCTGTCAGCTTGTTGAATTTCAACCTCACATTGCATGGGACGATCTATGTAAGAAAAGCAAAATGACACAATGCAGTAATGCCAACACTAAAAATAAAATAGTTGTTACATTTCAACTAATTTCTTACCGCCGCATGACGAAAACTCGGATGGAAGTAGATGCCGAACAACTTGCCAGTTGCAAGGTTGCTAGCGCACCTTGACTTGCACAGTCGACATAGTGGTGCTGGTGGTGGCGCCATTTTACTAAATCAACTAAATCAAAATGTTCTAAATCAACTAACCTACTAAATCAACTAGCCTACTAAATAAACTAAATCAAAATATTCTAAATCAACTAAATCAACTAGCCTACTAAATCAACTGAATCATATCAACTAAATCAACTAAATCAACTAGCATACTAAATCAACTAGCATACTAAATTCACTAGCATATTAAATCAACTAAATCAAAATGTTACATATGAAAGCCTACTAAATCAAAATGTATCAGGGAGGAGGGACAAGGAGGGGCGACTCGAGGAGGGAGAAGATAGTAGGACGGAGGAGGAAGGCGGAGCGAGGAGGGGCCGGCCAGCGGCGAGTGGAGGGAGGACGGAGGAGGAGGCCGGTACCGAGTCCAGCGAGGAGGATGAGGCTACAGCGGCGCAGATCGGGGGAGGGGCGACGGGGGAGGACCGGCGGCGCGGGGGGTGAGGGGGAGACCGTGATCGAGTGTGTGTGAGTGTGATCTGTGGATGAGGCGCGCTAGTGAAATCTGTAGTTAATTTAGCAGTAGCGATTATTGCCTGAATGCGCTGCTGCTACGTTACATAGCAGTAGCGCTGTCTATTTTAATGCGCTGCTGCTATAACTGGCCTTGCGGAGGCGTCGTGGGAATTTTAGCAGTAGCGCCGCTTGGAGTGCGCGCGCTACTGATAAACTTGTTTCAGCAGCGAGTTTCCACAGCTCGCGCTACTGCTACTTAGCAGCAGCGCCTGATTTTATAGCGCGCTGCTGGTAAAATTCCGTGTATAGGCTTTTCCCTAGTAGTGTTTGCAAATATATTAAATGTCGAAGCACAAGTACATACTGTTGCCTTGTACGTCGGGACGTGTATTAACCGGCAACAACCATTTCTCCAAAGTTGCACAGATCCCTAGAGACCAGAGTGAGCGGACGTGATTTGGGTGGGGCTGGTTGCCGAGTGCTCCTAATCCGCCTCCGTATATTTGCAGCCCTCTCTTCAGTTTGACCAGTTTTGACCATACTATCGTCCCAGGTGGAGATGGGCCCACCTGTCATCCCCTTCCCCATCTTCTACCCCTCTTCTTGATGCACTCGTCAGATTGGACACCGTCGGGGGCGCCGCCCGCGGCCAACCACCGCCGCAGCAAAGTCGCCGCCGGAGCCCACCGCGCTGCTCGGCGACCCTCATCTCAGTGCTCGCTCCTCGCCCGAACCGGCGACAGAAGCCGCATCGGCCTCCTCCGCTGGCTGACGGCGGCGCGCCCCGGCTGACCACGGCCTCTCTCCATCGACGCAGTTCGCAGCACGCGATAGCCACAAGCACGGCCGCCGGCGCAGGGCCGCGCTCGATGTACCGCCGGGGGCATCGCTCTCGGGCGGATGCCAGCCTTCTCCGGTAGTGTCTCCCCCTTGGGGATGGAGCTCATCCCCTCTGCAAGCTCCGTCCACCTCTGGCCTATCCCCGCCGGCTACCCGAACCACGCCGGCCTCCACTGCACTTAGGTTGGTTCAGGAACCTGCACTAATTCCACTAAGTTGGTTCAGGAACTAATAGCCCTGCACTGCAATTTCCAATAGGCCAGAAGATTCAGACAGGGGACCAAACTGGAGTACTGGCCCCCGGCCCGCCCCCATACCAGGCTCGGATCGCGAGCATCGGTGCTCAATGCCTCAACGTCAAGTATGCACATTGTGTGGCAATTATTGTATTGCAAGCAAGGTTCAATTTCATTGCAGGTACGTACTAATTAGCGTGCTGGCTGTGCAGAAATTTCGACATAGTTTCTTGCTTGTGTGATGGTATTTATTTCACATTGATGCTCTTCAGAGCACTTCAAACAGCTCCGAGCTGAAGATGCTGGATGGCACGGGCCAGGACCGGCGTGTCAGCAAGATGGGAGAAGCCGGTGCACGGGAGGAACTCTGATGCAGGCAAGCCCATTGATGTCTCCGATGCTGCTCGGCGTAACTCCTGTCCCACGGTTGCAGCTGATTTTAACACTGTCCTTCTCCGGTGACCAGCACATAGGTTCTGACAGGTCAGCACAAACTAAGAACCAAGCCGTTTTCTCTTGAACCCTTCCTTTTTTAGCATTAGTTTCATGCAAACAATCATATACCAGCATAATCATAAATTTATTTCGTAATCAGGAACAGATGTCTGTAACTGAATGAAGGATGGTTATAAGGTTCTGTGGAACAGATGTCAAAAGTTAACTGGGACCAAATATATATCCAACAACATACATGGTGAACTCTGTCACAGCTGAAAGCCACCAAATTGACATGCATGACAGTAAACTTATGTTGCGTACAAGTAGAAACTTAATGGACACACTTAACCGTCTTCGCCGTAGCCGTATCAGTCTGATACAGCCTTGTAGCAAGCTGCAGCACATGGGAATTCAACATTACCATGAAAATATGGCAGGGGATCAAAAGACAGACCAGCTCCTGAAGCATCAGAATCAACGACTACTTAGTTAAAAAACAAATGCCAACCTGACACTCAATGCAAATGTAAGTCGTGTCTCGACTCAAGAGCAAGATTGACCCAAGCTTGCAAACTCCATACAAAACCTCAGTTTCCATCAGAGACAACAACCGCAATTCCAGGCGCTGTTTGTTTTGTAGGCCTCGTTTCTGCAAACCGGCCAGCGGCAATAACCATTGTGGCGATTAAAAAACATAGGAGTAGGATTGGTAGGAAAGATATTCTGAAGGCAGAAGCATTTCTAGTTTCCCATATGGTCCAAACTACAACATCTCCAGCAGCCATCAGATTTCTAACATAACCGGTAAACTTCAGAACCCAACTGCACAGACAGTTAAAAGAAACAGGAATAGCCTGTATATTCAGTTTGCGCTAACCACACTCCACAGATATTTAGAAACAGGGCATAGAACGAATCAAAACTCATAGGAACATTGTCCGACTTCTCCTAGCTAGCTATAAAAGCACTACATTTAGCAGCTTATGAATCTCTAATCACTTGAATAGATTTATTTACCTGAAGAATATTATTTCCAAACATCACCCCAGTTCTACTAGTTATGTCACTAAGAGAAATGCTGGAAGAATTTAAGAAAGATGGAAACTTGGAACTTGTAAATTACCTTGGACATCCTCTGGGTTCTTGCGCTTCACCCTATCAACAACCTTGTCCATTGAGTTGTCTTCACCAATGTCCAACCTTGCCCTCTTTCTTCTGTTCTCACCCACCACTAAAAGTACATCATTTTGATCAGTAGACCGAGTGACATCTTCCATCCGCTCATCCTCTAAACCTACCATTCCTTCCATCCCCTGTTCAAAACTTTCCTTGTTCATCGGAGGGTCCAGACAAGTCTTGCTAGCAAAATCCTCTACGCTGCGTTTGGATGTTCCCATTAGAGGCTTGGAATCCGAATTGGTATTGTAATCTTTCAATTCATGTGTTTGGTTGCACAGCGAATTGGCAGGCTGTAATGAAACGAAAACGCCGGCTGAATTACATCCCACGCAAAGTGCCTGCCCACGATACGGAGCCCTCCTGCTCTGAATCGCGCTGAAATCAGCCTGCCCGCAAGCGACCAGAAAAAGGAAGGGGATAGGATAGGCTGACCGCGACGACCTAGCAGAGGCCGGCGGCGGCGGCCACCACCATGGAGTCCGTCGGCGGCGCAGGTGCCTTCCTCCCCTCCTCTCCAGCTCCTGCTCGCCATCCCCTTGAGCCACTCCCCGCCATGGAGTCCGACGGTGGCACAGGTGCCTCCTCCCTGGCTGGCCCCGCCCTCCTCCCCGGCTGCCGTGCCCCAACGTCCTTATCCACGCCTGGCCGTCCTCCCTACCCGTCGTCCCCCGCCCCTCTTCTAGTCGATTGGCCCTCGTGCTCGTCGGCGTGGAGGTCCTGTGCTCTAGATCTCGCGGCCGTCGGAGTTTCCCATACATGAGGGGCTGCGCCTGCACGAGTTTGAACCATCACGCTCGCCGGCGTCGCTCCATCCCGGCCACGGATAGTCGGCTGACCGTCGGGGACGACTGCGTCCTGTGCTCCTCACTGCTGCTCGGCTGGCTCCGTTCATGGCGCAGCTCAGGCAAACCGTCAATTCGATTGTATGGCATCCAAACATAACATTGGTATATGCTAGCTTGTCTAATTCCAACCTGCAATATTTTGTACATCCAAACATCTGTATTGGTATTGGAGCCCATTGCAATACAAAGGTTGATTTGGTATTGGATCCAATGCAATTCAGAGGCTCTCAATGGAGACATCCAAACGCAGTGCTAGGATATTAATTTTATCTGTATCTTCTTTCTCATCATCATCCTGTTGCAGGTCATCACCATCAACTTGTACTGTACAATAAAAATGTCACATAGATGCCTGAAGAGGGAGTATATATAACCTAACATCAATAATTAACTAATATACCAACAATTAAGCAAAATAAGATGCACAACACTTGGTTACCAGACTGTCCGGTAAAAATGGCATTGTGGGGTGTTGTTATCTCAGAATTGTATGTAGGTTCACATCCCATATCAACATCTTCAACTGTCTTAACAAACAAGAGCTTGGGACGTCTGGGGTGTTTCTTTGCTGCTTCTTTCCACTCGTGCTTTGTTTCATCACTTACTCCATCATGGAGGGTGACCTCCTTAATACGTCGTAGGGACTGGATTGTCATGCTGCAAAAGCCATTTAGATCTGTACATAGCAGCCGGAGTGACTCGAGGAGTGGCAGAGCTCCCTCCTGGACTTCCAGCTCAGTCATGACTTCCACCATGATGCATAGGCATTGCAGGCTTCCAAGTGCACCTTGTACGATGGTGAGTTTGTCCAGTTGAGATGCAATTAGCTTCAGGTACGCCAAGCAACGCACCCTGCTCAGGGCAGCAAGAATATCCCCACTCAGCTGACCAGGGGATGAAAGGAACAGCTTAGTGAGACCACCCAGCATGGTAACAAACGGAGGCAGGCTGCATATGTTGCCCCCTTGTAGCTTGAGCGAGCTAAGATAGCAGGAGGAAGCTTCTTCTTTTTCTAGGGACAAGCTCACAAGCAAGTCTTGGAACCATTCATCACTGAAATTCAGTGAGAGTGAATGACCTTTTTTCACGTCGGTGCTTCTCTTGATGAACCCCTTGATGGCCTTTGAGAGATGAGTGCAGTGGCTTGGGACACCTCCCCCTCCTCCCCCCGCGTCGCCTCCCCGAGCGGGGCGACCGGGGGATCTCGTCGCCCCCTCCCAGCCCCCCCTCCCCCTCCTCCCCTTCCGCCGCCGTCAGCCTGGGCCACCGGGCCTTGCCCGCGTGGTGCCGGCGGCGGCGGCCCCGGCCTTTCCCCCCCGCTTGGCGCCTCGGCTCGGGCGGACGGCGGCCGATGGGGGTGCTCCTCGGCGACATTG